CGGGCCCGGCCTCCGGGGGCCGCGCGGGCGCATTGGATGTGCGGGGCGCGGGCGTGCGGTGGGGCTTTGAACCGGGAGCCGGGGCGCAGCGGGCCATGGCCGAGGCGCGCGTGTCGCGCTGGTACTTCGGGGGGCTGGCCTCCTGCGGGGCCGCCTGCTGCACGCACCCGCTGGACCTGCTCAAGGTGAGGCGGGGCCGCGGGCGGAGAGCGCGACGCGCCAGGAGTTAGCCGGGCCTGGCGGCCGCCGGCTTCCCAAACAAACGCGCAGGCTCTGCCCACGAGGTCCGTGTGGTCACCGGGGCTGCAGTTGCCCGGCCTGCGCTGCCCTTCCCAGGGCTGCGGCGCCTGGAACCCGCGCGCTCCTGAGAAGTGCCCCTGCCGGTGGCCCTCTGCGGCAGAGCGAGAGCCCCTTCTCAGCAGGTGGCGTTCCAGCCCTAGCGCTGCGCTTAATTACCTGTGTGACCTTGGGCGGGTCACTTGGCCCCTCTGAGCCACCCTCCCTCCCACCCGGGCTCTGGAACGCAGATTCTGCCCGGTTTCAAGTGGGGCGGGGGCGGGGCCTGTGGGCACGCGCTCAGGGCCCGGCAGAGCGGCGCAGTGGGTGAGGGGTGTTGGGGCCAGCCTGCCTGCTGAGACCTGCCTGTGGGTGGGCTGGAGTCCCCAGCACGAGCAGCCAGCTCGCTGTCCTTTTCATATGTGCTCATGGGGCACAGTGGAGCAGAGCTGCCGTGCGGGCCAGGGCCGGCCAGAGAAGGCGGTTCTGACCCTGCTCCCCATGGAGAACAAAGACAGGTCCTGTAGCCACGGCCTGCCCAGCCCGGGGCTTGGGCATGGCCGTCTGTGTGCAGGCCAGCCACCCGGGCACCGTTCAGCCCCCACCCAGGCGACGTAGCAGCTACCCTAGGCCACCCCTCTGCCAGCCTTTAGGCCGAGCCTGTGACGTGGCCTGACCTGGTGGCCTGACCTGGACCCCATCCAGGCTGTCCTTCCCTGCAGGAGGGGGTTAGCCACCAGGGAGGCAGGATCAGCAGTTGTGCGGGGGTGGGGGTGGGGCGGGATGGGGCTGGACCATCCTGGGAAATAAGCCCCAAGGGTCTTCGCCTTCCCAGCCACATGCCCCTTGCAGGTGGCCCCTGCGTGTTGACAGGCTATGCCTGGAGGTCTGGCTGCTGTCCACAGGCCAAGGCCCTCTGGGGTCACTGCCCCTTGGCCCCCCCACCCCCACCCAGGCTTTCTTCTGCCTGGTGGGGGCAGGGAAGGTGCCACTCCCATCGGGCGACTGCCCTCTGGCATGGGGCACGTGGCCGAGCTGGCTTGTGGCAATGCCTTGGGCAGAAAGCCGGGTCCCTGCGCTTCCCCACACCCTGGCTTGGCCTCTCCGTGCCTTCTCGCCCACACCAGGCCTTGGACCCTGCCTGCCGGCACACGCGGGCAGCTCCGAGCCCAGCAGAGCCCTGTCTATGCCCACCCACCTTGCTGCCCCACCCTGGAGGGCTCCCAGGCTTCAAGACAGCCATGCCTCAGTCACACTGAGCTCTGTGGGGTCACGCTGGGAAGCTTTGGGGAGAGGCCGTGAGCAGGGACAGCCAGCGGGGTCCAGGAGGCTCAGGGCTCCCAGCTTCTAAACGCCTGCCCTGGCCAGGCTGCTGAGGCCACCAGACTGTGCCAAATCCCACCTGTTTCAGAGCCTTCTGGGACATCACACCCAAGCTCCCGAGTCACCCAGTTCTCAGCCCTCGGGATAAGGGTGGGACCCCAGGCGCCCTGGGCTGCCCTCTGTGCTCTGCTGCTCTGCCTCGTAGGACAGGAGGGGGCCCAGCAGGTGCTGATGGGCCAGCCTGGGCAGTCCCTGCCCTAAAAGAAGAGGTGCAGGTCCCAGGCAGGGCTGCTAGGAGGTCCCTTCACTCCCCCCGTCCCCGTTCCCCCCCGGGGAGTGACTGCTGGGCGTCTCCCTTCTCTGAGCGTGTGGCTCTGCAGGTGCACCTGCAGACACAGCAGGAGGTGAGGCTGCGGATGACTGGCATGGCGCTGCAGGTGTTGCGCTCTGACGGGGTCCTGGCGCTCTACAGTGGCCTGAGCGCCTCCCTCTGCAGACAGGTGCGGACACCCGTGGGCGCGGGGCCCTCCCCCTCCTCTGTGAGGCAGCAGGAGTCTGTGTCCCGGCTGGGTGTGGGGTGAGGTTGGGTGGTGTCAGCCTGCATCTGGCTGGTCCTGAGACCCCCGCTTCTTTGAGGGGCTGGGATTATGAGCCGCTCAGCCAGATGGCTTTGGGAGGGCCCCTGGGGGTCCCTGTGCCCCGACAGGACTGGCGGAAGCCCACGCACTGAGCCAGCCCCGCCCCCCCAGATGTCCTACTCCCTGACTCGGTTTGCCATCTACGAGAGTGTGCGGGACCGCGTGAGCCAGGGCAGCCAGGGGCCCCTGCCCTTCCACAAGAAGGTGCTCCTGGGCGCCGTCAGCGGTGAGCACCGGGCGCAGCAGGCGAGGGCGGGCGGGGGCACCAGGAGGTGTCACAGTGTTGGCTCTGGGGTTTGTGTCGCCAGGTTTGACCGGTGGTTTCGTGGGGACCCCTGCAGACTTGGTGAATGTCAGGTTGGTGTGACCCACTCCGAGGCCCCGGATGCTGTGGGCCCCTAGCCCGGCCCTGCCAAGCCTCAGCCATGGCTCTCTTTCAGGATGCAGAACGACGTGAAGCTGCCCCCGGGCCAGCGGCGCAAGTGAGTAGCCCAGCCAGCTCTGCCCTGGGGCAGCAGGGCGCAGGAGGCCGGACGAAGGGCCATGTGGGTGCTGTGGGCACACCACACCTGCTACTGCTACTCTGGGTCCTGGGGAGTCACTCGGTCCCCAGGCCCTCGGCCCCGTCCTCACGGAGGAACTTCGGGACTGGGGCTCCTGGAGTCTCCGTTCGCCTGCCCCTGTCCCTGCCAGGAGAGTCCGTGCAGCTGTGCCCGCGTCGCCAGAGCTGCAGGGGCCACCTCCCAGGGTGGCCGTCAGAAAATGACACTCAGGGTCAA